GACCTTACAGGCAAGAAGGGGCTGGAAAGAAGTATTCCAAGTCATGAAAGACAAGGACCTTCATCCAAGATTGCTCTATCCAGCAAAGCTTTCATTTAGAATGGAAGGGCAGATAAAGTGCTTCTCAAATAAGATCAAGTTCAAGGAGTTCATCATCACCAAGCCCTTATTTTATGAAATGTTAAAGGGACTTACTTATCTAAGAAAAAGAAGATAAAAAAGATGAACAGTGAAAGGACAGCAAACTCGCAGTTATTAACAACCACACCTAAAACAAAAGCAAACTAAGAGGACAGCTAGATCAGGAGCAGAACCATAGAAATGGAGACCATATGGAGGGTTAGCAACAGGGGAGTGGGAGGAGGAGAAGTGGGGAGGAGGTACAGAGAATAAGTAGCATAGAAGATAGGTAGAAAATAGATAGGGGGAAGGCAAGAATAGTATGGGAAATGTAGAAGCTAAAGAACTTGAGACACATTGACATAAACTAAAGGTGGGGAATGTGGGGGGAGGGGTGTGCAGGGTGAAAGGGAATGAAGGGGGAATGGGACAACTGTAATGGCATAATCAATAAAATATATTTTAAAAGATTGATATAAAATATCAGAGTTCATGTACATACTCAGGGTTGATATAGCTTATGAGATTTTAGTTTTAGTTATGAAGAGGTGTATCCTGGATCATAAGATTAAAATTTTAAAAATTAAAGCCATTGGTCTAGAGCTATTCATAATGCAAGAGCTGACATGGACTTATTCAGACTCGCTTCCTCTGAGCTCCTGCACCAGGGCAGCACCTTAAAGGGCACCAGTGGCATATAGGGAGGAACTGAAGTATCTGGCATCAGGGTGAGAGCTGGAGGAAGCTTCCTCCCAGACAGAACTATAGATGGTGGCCATTATATCTTTTCTGAGCGTTGTCCCACACAGAGCCACAGTACAGGAGCACCATATATGAATCTCCTTCAATCTGGCTTTTGAGAGACATCATACAGTAAGCCCTTCCCTGACAATTACCTAAGGGTCTGCCCCATCCAACTTATGGGCCCACCCAAGCTGGTAACAGTGGCTTTTCCATATGAAGGACTGGGCTATGCTCAAGCTTCAGACCTTCCTAAATCCGCTCAAACAAGAAACAGCTGAGCACAGCCCCCATACCTCTCACTGAGTGGCCCTATGTCCAGCACTAGCAACAGCCATATGCAGATTGCTTTATAGCTTATGCCAGAGACCCCAGACAGAACACAGGTGGAATCTCACCTTGGCCTGCCCCACCCAGGAAACCCCACAGGCTGGGCACCCAGTGGACAGTTACAGACTACATTAGAGCACCATGGAGCTACCTCCACAAGCCATAGAGGGTGGTGGTTACTGGCCAAGGGTCACATGCAGTCCTATCAGCTGTATGGACTGGGTAAATACCTCCCACTGACCTGCTAACAGCAATCAAGACTTATATACAAGGGGAGGGTATATTCAGCCCACACAGAGGATGTACCTTGAGTACCCAGTTGGGTAATAGGGGAGGCTATGTCATTGGACTGACCCTACAGAACACCTACTACATTAGGCCATTCAACCAACACACGGAGTCAAAGCAGCTCTATCTAATACATAGAAACAAACACAAGGAGGCTGCCAAAATGAGGAGACAAAGAAATATGGCCCAAATGAAAGAACAGAACAAAACTCCAGAAAAAAACTGAACAAAATAAAGATAAGAAACTACCAGGTGCAGAGTTCAAAACACTGGTTATAAGGATGCTCAAGGAACTCAGTGGGCACTTCAACAGCATAAAAATGATTCATTCAGAAATGAAGGAGGAACTAATTGAAATGAACAATTTACCATGAATCAACAGCAGAGTGGATGAAGTGAAGAATCAAATCAATGATATGGAACATGAAGAAAAAGACATCTAATCAGTACAGCAAGAAGAAAAAAGAATCCAAAAAATCAAGGATATGTATGCTGCCTCTGGGACAACTTCAAATATTCCAACATCAGCATCATAGAGGTGCCAGAAGGAGAAGAGCAAGAATTTGGAAACCTATTTGAAAAAAAATGAAAAAACTTTCCTAATTTGGTAAAGGAAATAGACATATAAGTTCAGGAAGTACAGAGTGTCCTAAGCGAGATGTGTACAAAGAGGACCACACCAAGACACATCATAATTAAAATGCCAAGGGTTAAGGATAAAGAGAGAATCTTCAACGCAGCAAGAAAAAAGCAGAGTGTTACCTACAAAGGAGTTCCCATAAGACTGTGGCTGATTTCTCAAAAGAAACTTTGCAGGCTAGAAGGTACTGGCAAGAGGTATTCAAAGTGATGAAAAGCAAGGACCTACAACTTATATTATTCTACCCAGCAAAACTATCATTTAGAATTGAAGGGCAGATAAAGAGCTTCCCAGACCCCCCAAAAAAACAAAAACAAAAACAGAAAAACTAAAGAAATTCATCATCACCAAACCATTATTATAGGAAATGTTAAAGGGACTTATTTAAGAAAAAAATAAGATCAAAACTCTCAACATTAAAATGGTAACAAACACATAACTATCAACAACTGACTCTAAAAAACAAACTAAGCAAACAAGCAGAACAGAAACAGAATCACAGATATGGAGAACATTGGGATGGTGGCCAATGGGGAGGGTGCCTGAGGGAATGCGGGGAAAAAACTGAAGGGATTAAGAAGTACAAATGGGTAGTTACAGAATGGTCACTGGGATGTAAAGGACAGTATAGAAAATGGAGTAGCCAAAGAACCTATACACATGACCCATGGACATGGGCAATGCTGTGGGGCTTGCCTGAGGGAGTTGGGGGTGCCATGTGGAGGGGGGGTTGAGGGGGAAAACTGGGACAAGTGTGATGGCATAAGCAATAGAAATAAATGGATGAATCAATAAATAAAAGTAATGCAACAGCCAGTGTGGTTGAATGCACTAATCAAAATTAGAGGACATTTGGAAATTTTCCACATCATTTTACGTCACTAGACATGAGCAGAAACAAGGGAAATCCAGAGCACTTTAGAGAGGGGCTTCCATATACAACAGTAGGTGAAGGGCTTGAAATTCAGTCTCTAAGTGAAATTACCATCAGAGAGGCTTTACACTTTACAAACCACTTTTACAAACTTGATCTCACTGGAGTCGGTTATCCATCCTTTGTTGTCGTCAAGACAGGAAGGTGGCAGCATTGGAGGCAAGCTTCAGGGACCCATCCCGTTTCTGTCAGGCACCCGGCCAACAGCTGGGAGAAAGAATCTAGCTCCACAGCCTCAGGGAGAGAGCTGGCAAGTCTGGAAAACCATGTGGGGTTCCAGCCAAGTAAACTGGGGTTCAGGGCAGAACTCCAGTTCCAGGAGGGAGAATGGAAAAGATGAACAGGAACTGGGGCGGAAGCCCAGTTACTAAACAAGGCACGCAGGTGGCCAGGCCCATTCCCTTCACATGGATTCCAAACTCCCATCTGCAGAGTTCCAGAACCCCATGACTGGCTTTTGAAGAAGCAACAGAACATGAATGAGGAGCAGGGCTGAGAGGCTATCAAGCACTTACAAAGGCATGAGGAGCCAGTGGGAAATGGCAAGTTAATCAATCAGACTGGCATAAGTAGGGTTGCCAGATAAAATACAGGTCACTTACTTGCATTTGGATATCAGATAAACAAGGAATACATTTTGGTATGTATGTCACAGGCAATATCTGGGACATATTAATATTAAAAAAAGTGGCATTTACCTGGAATTTAAATTTAGCTGGGTATCCTGTATTTTTTTTACTAATCTGGCAAACCCTACATGTGAGTAATGGAGGATGAGGCTGAGAGGCTTGGCAGAGCAAGGTCGCAAAGGGTCTTGTGTGCCATGCTTGACATGTAGTGAGCAGTCATGGCAGTTTTTAAGGGGGGGGGAATAATATGATCCGGTTTGCATTTTAGAATCAACACTGTAGTCACAGTGTTGTATAGTTTGCAGTTTAGAATCAACACTAGTAGTCCTTTGGAGGACAAAGCAGTTCAGAAAGACAGGAACTGAGAGACTAGAGTCTATTAAGTAGCTCAGACTCGGGAATTGAATATGACTTGCTCACTTCACACGTTTGCCTAACGCCAGAGAGACTGCCAAGTTCACTTGGGCTGTAGAGACCAAACAGTTCTTTCAAGAATTGCTCTTCAGAGTGGTGGGGAGGATATAGATATTTTGCCTTGCCCAAACCTTGGGTCAGTTGCACACTTCTTGAGGAAGCTGGAAAGATACCTGTATACATCAGCCTCCTGCAAATAAACTGAATATCTTGTCCACCACTGCATCCCCAGTAGATAATCAATAAACACTTGATGAGTTCCTCAAGGACAAAGTCTATGTTTTCATTGTCTTTGTTTTTTTTTTTTTAGCTCCTGACCCAGGGCTGGGAATAAGTTTCTCGGAAAATAGTCCTTGATTAAAGTGGTCTAATTAATTAACAACCAGAAGTGCTTCTTATTAACTACATCTTCTAACATTACTTCAAAGTACAACCTGCATATTTTTCACACACATGGAAAAGAAGCCTGACTTTTTATACTGGACCAGAAAACTGTGATTAAAAGCTGCAGAATTACACTGATTAGATGGACTTTGAAAAGTAATCCTCCTCATGTGAAAATGTGAGTGCTTTTGTTTGGGGGTTTTTCTTGGGCATTTTCCTATCTACTTCCATAAGCTTTGTCATTGCTTCGGTATTAATAAATCTATACCTTAATTAAATACTTCTCAGGTAGGTCATTGAAAATTGGTACAAACCAAGTGTGTGTCTTCAGTCTACCAGCACCAGTGCAGTTACTCAAATATGTGTCTTCTGAGGCTTGTTGAACTTATTGAGGGCAGAACCTGTTCTTATTTATCTTTATTCTCACAGAACTTTCACTAATAAGTGGGCGTGCTGAATGTTCAAGAGCAGAAAGCCAAAAGGGATAGAACAACTCTAAGAACTGCGTGGGGTAAATACAAATACAATCAAAAAATTATTACAACCACTCATTTAAAGATTAAGTCTCATTTAAAGTATCATGCTAGGTCTTTACATATATTTTATTAAATTTCAATCCTAAAAACTCCTCTTTGAGCCAGGTGCTATTACTGTCATTTCATGAATAAAGAAACTGAGAATCAGAATTGATGACTAACTTGCCCCAGAAGACACAGCTAACGGATCTGATTCCGAGGTCCATGCTCTCACACACCAAATTGTTATTTTTCAAGTGCGTATTGGAGAGATCCAAGATTGTTGGTGTGCCTGTAACAGCACCTCTCTTTGATCAGCAGCTATGTTACAACCCACAGAACTGAACTTGGATTGTCTTTGTGATGTGTGAGCGCCCGTATCTGGAAGACAAGAACTCTGGAGGTGTTTCCTCTATTTTTGAGCAATGTTCCTTTTCTTCCTCTTCAGCTTTGTATTTAAGGGAGCACATGACTTTACATATAATTAGGTTTCATCTCCATCTTGCTGGAAGGTGATATTGTTACACTTAAAATTATTATCACACTATTATTATCTGGGATGAATACATGATCAGTAATGATGTCATCATCAGGGATAGCAACTTCCTCTGCCCTATGCAAAGGAATATGTGCAGTTCCAGTCCGTGTTCACATATGCAATGGAACCTCATCAATCTGGAAGTGTATGAACTCATCTGTGACAATCCAGACCCTTCGCTGAGATGTAAGTATAATTGCAAACATCAGTTATTCTCCAGCTTTTAAAGCTATCCTCCAGTCTTTAAGCTGCAAATGTGCAGTTTTTGTACAGATGCTGACATCTTTTCAGCAGCCCTCTTTAACCTGCCTGACTCCTTAACTAACTGCCAGCTTCCTCACTTAGTTCACTGGGTTTCAGGAGGAACCAGAATCTTACCAAGAATGTGTCTCTGATCATTTGATTCCAGGGTGAGCAGGGCTAAATCAAAGCTTAACTCCACCAACCTTTTGGAGTCTATGAAAGCAAAAATCAAAGGGCAAATGTTGGCGTGACTAATCATATGAATTGGAATGAATTTGAAGAAGAAGAAACAAAGGTAGTGTAAAAAAATAAATAAAAGAGGGGGAGATAAATAAAGCACTTGGTTCAAAAAAATTAAGAAAACAAATTATGTTTTGCTTATCTCTGTTAATTGAAAGCCTGACAAAAGTGGTCTGCAAGGGCGTAAGAACCAGAAAGCATCTCTCGTGTTCTGCCTTTACCAGAAATGCTGAAGGAATTTTCTGCAGATGGTCAGGATGGAATTATGAAAAAATCATCACCCGCCTCCTTCCTTCTCTCAACTCATTGCCAGACAGTGTGCAAAACACGGAAGATATAAAATGAGCATGTTATGTCCCTGGCCGTCCAACCTTACCCTCTAGTTCACTGAAGTGTCCAAGTCACCAGAAAGTAATAGTCAAAAGACACAGTGGGTGCGCAAAGAGGGAGAGGTCAACTCTGTGATTCTTAATAAAATAATAATAATAATAATAATAATAATAGCAATCGTGTAGGGCTGTTCAGTGAGATGACAAACTTTCCCAAGTAAAAGCAAAGTGGAATCTGAATTAATGGACATACTTGAGTCAAATCTTAAGAAAGGGGATCTTGAAGAAGCAATCAATTCATACTGATCCAAAGAAGGAAATGATCTGGTGAGTGTTCTCCACCTTTAATTTATTGAATTATAATTTTACAAAGCAGAATTTCTGCCATACATTACTAAGCAATCCCCCTTTCCACGCCCATCCCCCACCCTCCATCTCCAACCCCCTAACAGAGTTATTAGGTGAGCGGGGCTGAATCCGCACTCCACTCAAATGTGTGACCTGTAACAACTCCGTCACTTCTCAGAGCCTCAGTTTCTTCCCTTGTAAATTGCAGAACCCGGGTCATTTCTGCTTCGAATTATGAAATACAGACAAGAAATCAGAAAGGAGACTCAAGAGAAACAAAAGTGAAAGTGCCCAAAGGAAATACAGCAGTAAACAAAAGTACAAAACTTTATATCTCACTGAAAAACGTGGCAGAGTATTTTTTTTCCAGGAACCGTGAACACAGGTCTTGGAAAGGAATGAAATGTCTATCACGCCCTCTGAACGTGAATAAGAGTGCAACATGAATCCACCTTGCTCCAATCAACTGTCTTCTTAAAAAAAGCTCCCCGACCCTAAATGACCATTTATAAGAAATTTCTCCCCAAGACATCGGTCCTTGATGTATATGGTCCGTTCCCACAATAACCACCCTTCCCCTGGCCCCATAAAATCCAATACAAAGGTGCGTCCCACTTTGGGCAGAGAGAAAAGGGGTAAAGAAAGTGGAAGGATTCGAACTGATATTAGATGTTGCCTGGTGTTGCCCGGCGATTGTTATAAACAACATAATCAAAGCAAACTATTTTTAAAACTTGGGCAACACTTTATCATTTCTTTCCTTAGGTAATAGTGAGACCTCTCTGAACGTAACCCAGAACGGCACACTCGCCCGGGATCTAAAGCGCGAGCTCTAGGGTGGACCGGCAAGTAGAGGCCACCAGAAAGGACCAAACTGACAGCTTCATTCAGTGTTTGCGGTGTGGGACCAGGACAGGCGACCGCTTTGGCTAGAGGGTGCGACCTAGACCCATCAATGGTCACTGGGCTCCCTAGCTTGGAGGATGCTCCTTGTCCGCTGCAGCAGCTTCACTTCGCGGAACAGAGGGTGCGCGCGCACACACACACACACACACACACACACACACGCACGCACACACAAGCGCCCCCCCCCCCCCCTTTCCTTCCCTTGCAGTTGTGTCTCGTCTCTCTTTTGTTTTTCTCCCTTCCCGGTCATGAGACCCGGAAGTTTTTTTTTTTTTTTTTTTTTTAATCCCGTCTCTCTCCCTTTTCCAAACTCTCCCCCCACCCGCCCAATCTATCACATGGCAGAGATAGAATAAAAACAGAAAAATGGCGACGGTCACGTTGTGGTGAGCCTTGCTGCGTCATTAGATATTCTTCATGCAAATAGCGGGAAGAACAAAGGAAGGGGGGCTCGGGACCCGCGGGGGCGCAGGTGGGTGTGGGGGTGGCGGGCCGGCGCGGGGGCGACGGCGCGTGCGGGGGCTGGGCGCCTGCGGGAGGCGTGCGGCCGCAGGGTTCCGTGCCGCCGAGTGTCTACGTCCGTGTGCGCGCCCGTGCGCCGCCGGGCAGCGCCGGCCGTGGGCGCCCGAGCCAGCCCGGGGGCGCGATAAGCCGTGGGGCTAACAGAGGCGTTCGGCGAGGCTGGCCGCGGCGCGCGCACACGCACCACCGAGCTTCACCGACTCGGCCCCCGCGCGGGGGGCGGGCCGAGGGCGGGCCGGGCGGGGGCGACGGCCACGGCCCAGGGTGAGCGACTGCCCGTCGCCCGCCTTCCTTCAGCCACCTGAGGGGACTGCACGCAGCTCGTCATCTCTGGGTAAGTAGTAGGGCTACGGGGAAGCGACGCGGGCCCAGCTCGGGGCTCTGCACTCACGCACGGACTTAGAGCATGTTGCTTGCTTGGGTTTGTTGTTGCGGTGTGTTTTCCTTCCTGCGGGGTAGGGGGGGCGACCTCGCCCAGGGGCATTTCCGCGGTTTCCCTTAGGCCCTAGCTGGGATGTCAGGCATCGCGCTGGATGTACAAGGGCGCGGGTGGCCCCTGGCCGCCCTGCTTCGGCCCCAAGGAGGGGGAGCGGCGCGGAGGGGCGGGGCGGGGTGGGGTGTATGTGTGTGTAAATGTTGCGCACTCGCTTTTCCTCTGCCCCCGCCTTCTTCCAGGGTGCTGGCGTGAGTCCCTCGAGGTCCGGCGGCGACTGTAAATAGAGTCTGGATGTTGTTTACATGAAGGATCCGGCGGGAGGAGTCTGCAAGGAGGAGGCGGAGGAGGAGGAGGGAGGTAGGAGAGAGGAAGACCGGAGTCCCCGCGGCGGCAGCGGTCCGGGGTGAGGGTGAGCCCCGTGTATTCTAGGGATGGGGTGCTAGGTAGCAGGAGGCTGGGACATCGGACCCTGGGGTAGGAGAGAGAATGGGCGCCTGACGGAGAGATGAGGCTCTGTCACCGTGGCATTTTTAGCTTGCAGCCTGCCACGCAGATTCTCCCGAGCTAGAGGGGTGAGGGTGTGTAGGGAGGGCGGGGAAGCCTCGATTTCTCTTCATGTTCATTCTCTCTGCTCCCGTCTTTTCCGCTTCTCCTGGCTCACCTGTTTATTTTCATTAACAAGAGCTTGCAGTTTTTTTTTATGTAGTCATAAGAGACTATTTCTTTTATTAGAAGCATTATTGGGGAGGGGGTGTATTGCCGTAATTTATGCAGGTCCAGTTCGCTTTTCCAGAAGGGGGAGGGGGACTTGGCGGAGACCGCCTGCTCCTGGCCTTAGCTGACCCGAGGGCTTCTCCCTGCTATCCCAGGCCGAAAAGAGTCCTTTCCCTCACTCTGCTGCCCAGTCACCAGAAGCCACCTTCTTGGACAAGGACCACACCTGTGCTTATTCCAGCTTTGGAGGAGAGGTGAGCCAAGAAACCAGGGAATCCTCTGTTCCCCAGAGCTTTTAGCCAACCCTCATCCAAGAATTGGCCAGAAACAGCTGCTTTCACCTGCCCCTTTCACTGGGCACATCTGTCTCCCCTGCCTGGCAAGTTGTGGTCTACAGATGTCTTGGGAATTTTTTCCCCTCTGGATCTGCACCCCACCGATCAGCAACTAACTGACTGTTAACATTTAGATCGAGAGACAGAGGTGACCCCCTCCGCCTTGGTCCAGTGCTGTTATTTATTCCACACTGGGTTTTCTGATGGAATCCTCAGCTGTCCTCCTGTAGTCACCGTCATTTTTCTCCTAAGAGCTTAACCCAGAATCAGGCCTAAGCCATTTCTGGCTCTCTTTCCTTGGGCCCCACCCTGGCTCCCACCCTGGCCCCCACCCTGGCCCCTCTTCGTTCTCCAGAGCCAAATATGCCTCCCAAAGCAGAAGGCCCACCCATCCCCAAATCTAACCATACAAAAGAGAGGAGAAAATCATGGAAGAGAAGAGACCCAAGAGTCTCCTTTCTGTCCTGAATGGCCTCCATATCATTTTTCTCTTTGGGCTTCCTAGATTTGTAATCCCTTTATTTTTCCTACCAGTTGTCCCTCCCATCCTCTTTGCCCGCAGTCCTGTGATAGATACTTGCAGAGGTGGGGATGATGGGTGGAGACAGGAGGTAATCACCCTTGTTCCCTGGATTGAGGCGTTTTTCTTCTCCCCTGTGTTTTCATTTCTGAGATATTTAAGAGTAAAATAGTAAATACGTTTGCATGCTTATTGGAGCTTGGTTTCTTGCTGGCTAATGAATAGCAGGGACTCAAATGGGAGGGAGGGGAAAGAGATGAATAGTGAATATTTCCCCTAGTTTACACCATCTGAGCATCCCCAGGGTTGCTGGAGAAGACCCTTGTGTAAAAAGCCAATGGTCTCCCTTCCATGACATCACCCCCTAAGCCTTTCCAACTTTAGCTTCAGAACAGGAAGAAGGCTCAAAATAGAACTACCTTAGGAATCCGGCTCCTTTAGAAGATCAACTTTTAAGTCAGCTGCAGGAGGAACACTAAACTTTGACATAGGGAGGGAAAGCTGTAGTGTTTGTAATTGGTTCCTTTGGGGAAGGGTGGGAGTATGCTTTTCATATATATTCAGAAAAGCTTTTCTCAACATAGCTTGGGTACCTAGACCAATGAATGATTAATAGGATAGTTCGATATTCATTTATTGAATTATTCATCTGTTTCAGTATGTCAACAATAATAAGCACTGTTCAGAATTAATTAAAAAGGGGCTCCTAGAATGTGGGCTAGAGAGTCGGCTAGAGATAGAGGTGGGGGGGGTAGGCTGGGGGGGAGCCCTTTAAGAAGGCGAAGAATCTGAGGATGCAGTGACAGCTGCTGTGAGTATGGAGGTTGAAAGGCTCATTATAAACAATGGCCGTAACTTCTGAAGGGTGACAGATGTCCCGGACAGAGAAGTAACGATGTCAGGATCTTCAACCCTTACCTCAGAAATGAACTCTGTGTCTCCGAATGTCCGTGTATCCATTCTTTCCCTGAATTGAGATTTTCTGAGCTAAAAGGAGTTGTTCAGTCTTTGAAAAGAGCTGCTTATTAAGTGATCAACACTGAAATATGGACAATTTAAGTAAGGATTAGTAGTGGGGCAGAAAACACTTGGCATAATTTGAGCACCAGGTGGGTGCTGTAGAAGGACTTGGTATTGAAGGCGTAACATCTCTTAATCTGGTTCAGGTTTAAAAGAATCCAGGTAGCCACTTAGAATCCAGTGTGGATGTCAAATGCCTGAAATACAGCCATGGTGATAAGGAACTAAATTTCAAATTTTATGTAATTCTTAAAATTGATATTTCATTTATATAATTCTTAAAATTGATATTTGATTCAGGTATTGGAAAACTTAAGTTCAGAAACAACTTGGGCATGTGCATGGACTTGTTAATCTGTAAATTTTATATAATCCAAATACAAACTAAGTATTTCTGATGAATTTAGTACTAAATTGATGTGTGTTACAAGTATAAAATATGCTCCAGATTTCAAAGACTTACTCCAAAAGGAGAAAGTAAAATGTCTCATGAATAGTTTATGTATATATTTAGATTTTATATATTTATTTTTAGGGATAGGGGAAGGGAGGGAGAAAGAGAGGGAGAGAAACATTGATCGGTTGCCCCTTGTATACCCCCAGCTGGGAACCTGGCCTGAAACCCAGGCATCTGCTCAGACCAGAGATCAACTGGTGACCTTCTGGTTCAAGGGATGACATCCAATCCACTGAGCCACACCAGTCAATTTTTGTATTGAACAGTTTTTATATTGATTACATGTTCCATGTAATCCAGTGATATTTTGGTTATACTGAGCTTAAACATATTGTTAACATTAATTTTATCTGTTAATTTTTTAATGTAGCTACTGGGATCATTTAAATTACGTATATGGTTTGTATTTTACTTGTTTTGAATGGTGCTGTCCTAGAACATCACTCCTTTTGGTCCATGGATTAATTTCAAAAGAGGTGACTGCATGAGTTATTTCATGTTCGAAAGTCATCTACTGCCCATGTGGAGATTTGGAGACCCCAAGAGTTGTTATTACAGTATATGAGACCTCATAGTACTGTTTTGCAGAATTCTATGCGGGATTTGTGCCCTACTCAAGGTCAATAAAATGTGCAGGGCAGTAGGAGGGCTAGTTGAGGGCAGCATGGGAAAATTGAAGTACCCACACATCTGGCTATGGCTGCCTGTGTAAAAGGCTCTTAGGTATGCTAGGATGTAGCACAGTAACAATTGTGACACCTGGTGGCATTTTAGTGATTCCACTTATCATTCGTCTTTGTTCATTTTCTCTTCATCCTTCATTTACTTTCTCTCCTCATTCCCCATTCTAGCTCCACTGGTGGTAACTGTGCCCAGAAGGTTGCTGACCCCTGTCCTCTGAGAAAAAGCACAGTGCTGATTTGGATAGATACAGTGCTGTGTTGGGGATTTGGTTTTGTCTCATGAGCTTCTGTAATGTTACTTACTGGACGAGACTTAGGGGCCATTTAGTACTATCCTTTTCATTTTATCATGGACAGACTGTCAAGTACCTTGCCTAAGACCATACCTACAGAGGCCAGAATTAAACACACACTTTTGTTGATAACCTATTTAGAGAATCCCTGGGAAATGAAGAGGTTCATCAATTAATCAGATGTTTGTTGGGCTTGCACTTTGTGGAAACAATCACTACTGCTGATGTTGTGAAGGGTGTGAAAACAGTCTCTGACTCCAAGAACAACACTGTTGCTTTAAGTAAATAAGAGGTAAACAGTGCTAAATTAAGTTACAGTGCAAGATAGAGCATTTAATGATGAGTGCAACCCCACTGTGGCATGTGTTACAAGTAGAAATGTGTTCATTTTACAGATGTAGAATAGAGGATCTGAGAAAAGTGAACTCTGCAGAAAAGAGGAGTATAATTGTGTTTCTGGAACAGCCCCTGGCTCTACCATTGGAGGTCAGTGCAAGTCTTTGGTGTTGCCCCCTTTAGCTGCCTATTAAGGGAATTTGAGAATTTAAGACCCAGCATTTTTAAATGGCACTGCTGCAGTAATGAGATCATGAGTTAATTGGAGACAGAGTTTTTAGAGATGGGTAGCTAGGGGTGGGTCATTCTGACTAGTTTCTCTAAAAGGGTATAATGCCGAGGTGAAATCAGAGTAAAAGTAACTTGTGAGCAGACTGTAAAACCCAAACTGGGGGGAAAATAGGATGTAGAACAAAAGCAGAAAGTAAAATAACTGTGTAGTAGACAGGTGGGCTAAAAGTGTGCACGCTGAGTGAATGTGTAAGGGGTAAGAGCCTACATAACAGAATATGGGCCGGTCCATTTATTTGTGAATTTTAGTCTCCTGGAGCCTTTGTGAGCAAGAAAGCACGTCCCTCTTTCTGTCTGTACATTGTTGTGTACATAGGTCTTTTCCTCCAGATGGACCTGCTATAAGTTATGGAGCATGAGACTGTTCAGAGGTCAGTGCTTTATTAAAGTAGGTAAAACAGTGACACCCCCATTAATGCTTCTCTGTGAGAACTGGGACAGACTTTGCACCGGGCAGTGGTCCCCAGCTTTTTTTTTTGCCTTTTCAACCATTTGAAATTTTCTATTAAACTTTGGCACAAGTTAGTTTTAAAACACACTTAATGCAGCAAAGCTTTGCAATAAAATGCAAATATATAGTCTTTGTACTCACAAAGCAGGATTTTGTTCACAGTACATTCTTATATCACAGTTTGGTCAAATATAATGTCACTGAGTTAAATTAATGGTTTTCACATTGGGGAAAAAAACCACACATGAGTAGGAGACTGGTAGATTTAACCTATTTTGGTTTTAAAGTGTTTTCAAATATTTTGTATTGCCAGCAGCTTACCAGTATCTCCAATTATTTACTATATAATCAGATACTTAAAGGTTCAAAGTCATTATATTTTCATTTTTGGTCCATAGATAAGAGGGATGGAAGATGGGTTTGTGTATGTTTTTACTATACAAGATTTAAAAGTACGTTTTTTAGTATACCAGTCACCAGAAGTCCTTGCTTTCCTAGATAATAATATTCGGTGCATGCATTTTTTAGTATACCAGTCACCAGAAGTCCTTGGTTTCCTAGATAATATTCGGTGCATGCATCATGGAGAGATCGTTCTCAGTGGTATCGTTTTTATCGTAGAAGCACTGAATTTAAAATCAATTTACTCTCTGGAAGAAAGCATTTTACATCACTGTCTTTCTCCCTCTCTTACTGTACACTGCACTTTCATGCCGTAGCAAGAGCACCTGCATTCACTTGTTCTAAAATTGAAGTAATTCCATTTTTATGAAGAAAAATCTATGGAAAAAGAAATGTTTCTGGTAGATTAGGGTTTTTTTTTAAATACACATTTATAGAGAATAATTTCTAAGAAGAAACAAAACTTAACATTTGGAAGCACTTATTTATTAGTACTTAAAAAATACAATTCTAAAAACCCATAGTTTTCTTCCTTGAAACTACTTTAAAATTATTCTGAGAGAATATAAATTTCAGTAATTATTCACAGTGACAATTTGCTTTTTATTACTTGGTCTCTTGGTTTTTTAACCCCCAATTTAGATAGGAAATAATTGAAATGAGAGGAAAATACAAAATAAAGGAAATACTCTCTACTTATTATATGAAAAATGTTTAGTTATCTGGTTTTTGGTCTTGGCTAATAGAGTGAATTTCAACTTTGTGGTATATTACCAACAATAAGTTTATCTTTGTGGACTTCATAGTCAGATATTCAGTTGCACTAGTATTCAGTCTTCGAGAAGAACAGTCTAATAACTGATCAGTACATCAGTGTCATTTATTTGTTCCCATACTTATCCCCCTCCAGTAAGTATTTCAGTGTGAGTATTCATCTTTTCTAAAGTGGACAGAATGTGTGGCCAGGAAATGTTGGGTGCTTATCTTTTTATCCTTTCCATGGATTAGCTATCTTACATTTTATTCTCAAATAATCACAATATCTTTGTTCATTAAACAGATGTTTATAATTTGGGTGAAAATGTGGAGCTATTCTCCAGGAATCTTAAGTTATGAGATCCAACCTTTTCTTAAAAAAATCTTCATTGCCCTCTTGTGTTTTAACTTTGTATTACATCAGTTGGCTAAGTCCTAGGCAATGACCTCTTTAGCTTTTAGCTATTTTTGCACTTGAGAGAATGTTATTTCAATTTGTGTGTAGGTACGTTTTTTCATTGGATATTACTTTTCTAAAGCTAGGTCAGTTTCATAGTGCATAAAAGTTACTAATTGAGCTAGAATCGTTGTACTTTATTTTTTTGACTTCTGATCAAAAGAATTGATTCATCTTCTGACTTATTTGAAGTACAGTGCTAGTATCTAACGTGCATGTAATAAGTCTTTGAAATGGCAAATGCCTAATTGAAAACAATTATTTTTCAGATATCTGTCAAGTTTTACACCTATTGAAGTAACTTGAGAACTTATGATTGACATGGAAAAAAAAAACAAGTGAATCATGGTTTTCCTAAGATGGTATTCTAAAGCCTGGATTCAAAAGTAAGAATCATCCCTGAAATAACTTCAGGGTACATCTCAAAGATACAGTTAATTTCAAAGCATGTGATTTTTTTCAAGAAGGCATTCCAGAGGTGGTCAGTGATTCCTGCACCACTGTAATTGTAGGGCTGGCACTGACTGCAGTGACAACCCCCGGCAGGTTTGCTCAACGTGTAATCATCAGTGTCATCAACTCGAGTACGTTCTTAGCACTCAGAATAAGAACAGTGTCACTTTTTTTACTAACGTACATTTCTTAAATCACAAAACCCATACTAGTTTCTGCTCTATGAGATGAGATACTCCAAAAAACTAAAAACCTTAAGCAAAAAGTAGATGTTTTCAGAAATCTTTTTGCTTGTATAAATTGTGCAATCTGAATACCCAGTTGACAGAGTTGAATGGCCAGATTGGGGTAGAGGAAAAAAAGCCCTAGGCTTAGTCTTAAGACATGGATTTGAGCCCAGGTTCACCATAACTTAGGGCATGGTCTCAGATAAAATACCTAACCTCTATAGGTTTTTATTTTTTATCTGTAATATGTGCTAATGATATCTAACCCACTTTCAGAATCCTTTTTTGATGAAATAACGAATAAATTCATTGTCAACCTAATAGGGTTCTTGTGGAAAACCAAATGAGAAAGCACATAGAAAATTATTGAATGTCAGGCAAAAGTGAAGAATTATTGCTATGTTTGGGAGCATTTTGAGAACAGGGACCATGTCTGATTTACCTTTTTTTTTTTTAAATCCTCAGTTGAGGATATGTTTTTTACTGATTTTAAAGAGGGAGAGAGAAACATCAATCATTTGCCTCCCACAGGCAACCCCAACTGAGGGCTGAACCCTCACCTAAATATGTGCCCTGACTGGGAATAGAACCTGTAACCTTTTGGTGTAGGGGACAGTGCTCCAGCCAACTGAGCACCTAGCCAGGGCCATGTCTTACTTGTCTTAATTACTTAAGTATCCAGAAGAGGTCTTGGAACATTGTAGTCCCTCAATAAATATTTGTTTCATGAATGATTGAGGTCAGGGATAGAGTCAGTGAATGTGTGCATGAAAGAAATACATTGTGAAATAAGCTGCAACGCTTACTGTATAGTCATGTTTGCTCATTCGCATTAATATGTACAAATCATGTGTTCGTCTTTCATTCTGTTATAATTCAGCTGGGCCTCTGAATATTTCAGCATCACCATTTACCGGTCTGTGAACCCACTTTCCCTTCTGCTTCCCCTCATCTTGAACCAGAAGGGAATCTCTTAGTCTTCCACTTCATGGGGAGCTTTCAGAGAGAGTCATTTGGTCACCTGGAAAGGACACCACCAGCCTACACAGTGACTGACAGGCTGCCCTGGCTCAGTTATCACAGTGCTGATGCTGTCCATTCTAAAGGTACAGTACTGTGATAACTGAAGGATGGCAGCCATCTTGCCTTCCATCAAAGGAGCCATCGTGCCCAGAAAAGAAGACCGAAGATGAAAGAGGCGTGTGAAGCAGGTGCAGGGATCCAGAAACCCTCTTACACCGTTCCTGTATTGTACCTTCCCTAGCACGGAGTGAATGTTACTCCCTCTGTCTTTGCCTTATTTTTAACATGGGGATAAAGGGAGTTGGGTAGTTGTTTGCACAGCAGCATGAACACTTATACTGAATTGACATACATTACAATTTTTGGAGCTTTTAGGAGACTGACATGAGTACTGAGTGTGAATAAGTATTTTGGGAGAGAGGTTCAGAGAAATTTGTGCCATTTTTATAAATATAAATGGTAACCTAATTAGAGTAGCTTGGCGCTTGTCAATATAACCTACTCAAAGTGCAGTTCAGCTTAAATAGGGAGAAAAAAGCCCTACATGTTGAACAGTATTGATACAGTTCAGCGGTTTTCAACCTTTTTCATCTCATGGTACATACAAACTAATTACTAAAATTCTGTGGCCAATATGACAAAAAAAAGTAGGTATAATGTTGATACATTGACATCAGACAGCTTTCATTGGGTGGATGTTGTCATTTGTTTGTTTGACAGTCTAAGGGGAAAGAGGTCGGTGCCCCTAAATAAATAATCAGGTATTGCATGTTTTAAAAATTCTTGTGGCACACTGGTTAAAAATTGCTGATGTAATTGCATGAATAAAACTACATCTTTTTGGTTAAGAAATGGGTATGGATATAGCATATTTTTTCCTATAACATAAATGTTTAAAGTCTCATGTAATTCAAAACAGTGTCCGTTGAATGCCCATGTCTTTGCTGTTGGTATCACCTTTACATGAAAATAAAATGTTATTTTTATCAAGTAGTTAAGGACCACCCTGCAGTGACATAGCACACACCTTCAACCTGCATCTTATTCTAGAGCATACTGTTGGGGTGAGGTCACTAGAGAAGCCAGGGTTTCCCCCATCCTTCCTCTCTTAAGACTCCTAAGACATGGACAGCAGCAGATGAGCATCCGAGTGCACGACTATCATACCTTAGATTGCAGCTGGCTACAGGGCTCAGGTAATTTCATGTAGTTTAGGCTCAATGCCTAAATAAGGACCTCTTACCTTTACCCAGGCTCATGTCTATCTGGGAACCTCACCATAGTGGGTGGCCGACCAGTGAGGAACCCAGAGCAGTGACCCATGTACTTGGGCACAGAGAGAACAAGGCCTGTGAAGGTCAGGCCCTTCTTGGACCTGCTGGTTACCCACAAGGTGAGACGATCCAGCACGGAGGAAAACCATGTATGTGATGTTTTAACGCACAAGAGTCCTAACCCGCTAATCAAGAGTCCAGTCATTGTCCTAGACTTGGGCCATTTTTATTATGAAGTCCTAACTGAAACTTGAGTAAGGAGGAAAGGAAACAGGAAGCAAGTGGCAAGGCAGGGAGGCTCAGTTTCACCCTTCATCATCCAGTCCTCAGCATTCCTGCTCACTGTTCCTTTGCTGGTTCACACAGTTCTCGCTATGCTCTTCTCTCTTCTCCTGAAGCAACCCCCGACGGCACACCTGCTTGTCCCTGAGTTGTTATTTTCCATGTGGCGTTGACCACATGATGATGCTGTATCTCACGTGTCTTCATATACTTAGAATTTCTCTAAACTGCAGCCTAGCCTTATGTTTCTGATTAATTATGGGGAGCAGTCAGTGGCTCTGCCCAGTTGTGTAGTATCCCACCAGCCCTGCTCCTTTAACAGAAAAGGAATTTCTGACAGGAACCCTGGAAGAACTTCTGAGAAAGGAAAGTTCTGGGATTGGCGAACTCTCAAGTAATTCAAAACACTCCTACTTTTAAGAAGTATAGCAGGTGGAAAAGAGTGCTTTAGGGAGTGAGGTGTTGTGCAGTCATTGGCCTTGGTGAGGGTTTCGCCACCTTGCCCGATCTTCCTGTTTTCCCGTTACTAGTTCCATAAAAATTCAGGTTTTATACTTACCCAACATTGGTCCCAGGATCCACACTCGAGTCTGTTGGGGTGTTACAGAGGTGAGTGTTGGGGCATTTCTACAGACGGAGCCACACTGGGTCCCTCTTCCCATCAGTAGGGAAGCTTGAAGCCGGTCTGCCTGTAGGAGCCCTAGGAGGCTTGCCTAGGCCTGGAGGTCCTAGCATCCTGGAGGACTTCAGAGATGCAGGGTTCCGACAGGCTAAGTGAGGAGTAAAGCAAGAGAAATCCAATGGGGTTTTTCCACTGCTTTGATTAAAAGACACACAAAGTGTGTTTGTTGGTATATTCATTACGTTCTTCGGTTGAGGTATGTGAGAATGGAAAGAATGGCAAAAAAAAACAACAATACCAAATGATCCAGCAGTTCCACTTCTGGTTATATGACCAAATGAAAAATCTTGAACATATACCAGTGTTCACAGCAGCATTAGTCAAAATAGTCACAGAACAAGCTACCCGAATGTGCATCAATGGATGAATGGATAAACAAAATGTGTATGAAACAATGGAAGATTCAGCTTTAAAAAGGAAGGAAGCTCTGACACATGGAAACGTGGATGAAACTTGATGGTACGCTAAGCAAAGTATGCCAGACGCAAAAGGACAAATACTGTGTGTTCCACGTCTGAGGTGCCTGGCACAGTCATAGATCCAGCAAATGGGATGGTGGTCGCCAAGGCTGGAGGAAGGGGGGATTGGGAAGTCAGTGGTTTATTAGGTATGATTATTGGGAAAGATGAAAAAATTATGGAGATGAATGGTGACGGATTCACAACAGTGTGGATGTACTCAATGCCACCGAGGTGTGCACTTCAATTAGTTAAAATAGTAAGTTTTATGTCTTTCACCACCAAAAAAAGCTTTTCATGGCAATGGCACTATTACAGCCAATAGCAGGTTTGAGTTGATGGCTCTCTTCCTTAGTCTTCAGGGTGAAGATAATTGCTGTTTCATGTAAGCAATTAAAATGTAATTCCCATGCCCTTGGCATTTGAGGTTCTCTTGTGGAATGTTAGAGGTATTTCCAAGGTTTCTGACCTAGCACAGCTTTAACATTTTGTGAAATGTAAATAAAACCATACAGTGAAAGTACAGTGAAATAAAACCATACAGTATTCATACAGCGAACTAGAAAAAGACTTCAACCAGGAATTAAGTGATGGGGCATCTCTTGATGGCTTAATGCCTTTTATGGTAAAATTGGGCAACTCCCTGGACCTCTCCACGCTCCACCTCTTTGCAGTTGTGATGAAGATAAATATATAAAATGTATACACATATGTGTATATACACGGCCCTTTTGATGAGTAAAGCAGCATTGAAATCTGGCATATTATTTACCCTTGAAATGTAGGAACACAGAGATGATGGCATTAGCAGTTTTAAATGGAAGTGTTCAAAAGCACTCTATTTACACTTGCAGCTCACGTATCATCAACCTCATTAAAAGGAGCATTCCATAGCTTGCTCTTGGCCATGGAGATTTTTCTATCACATGTTTAAATTTGAAGGTAAAGGAAATTAAAAGCTTATGGACTAGAAATGGATGGCAATAACCCTCTCTAAGGTCTCACATGTTGTATTAGCCATGGGTAAAAAGCATTCATTTGTGGTCCTGTCTACTTCATCACAAAGCTTCTCCTTTGGGGCCTTTGGAAATCAGATTCAGGTGTAGGAACCGCCCCCACCAGGTTTCGTGCTGTGCTCTACCTTGATCACACCACACAGAGTTGGAACGGAGAGTGAGCTTTTCTCCCTGCCACACCAATTTCAAATTGTTTGCTGTGTTTAGTACATTTTTTTAGCTTCTCTGAATAACCAGCCAATCATAAAAATGCCACAAATTCGTCTATACTGTCCTTAAACTGATTTATTTATTCCAGGTTGTCTCTGTGCTTGACACAGGGGACTTTTTCCCTTAAAACTTGGCTTTCATAAAACTGCATTCATGTTTACACAGTCCTCATCTAAGATAGTTCGTTCTCATCATCACTAGTTAATGTTTCACCACATGAATTCATTAAGTATGAGCAAGCGTAAGGGAGGCACCAAAAAGCCATTCTGTGTTTTTCTATATTTAAAACGTGATGATGGTGAGGATTCCCAATGAAAGGAAATGCCAGGTGTGAGCACATGTGCCTGGAACATGCTCAGCCAGGGTTCCTTATATTTCAATTGTTGAAAGGCTTTGGGGTGGTTTATACATGTCTCTGTTATGGTACATGTTTCAACAATTCACATAATTCAAAAGTAAAGTAAGCTGATTATACCTTGCTTTATGCATTTGGACTACTATTTTTTATGCAATTGCAAAGAAATTGATAGTGCTGTTAAAAAGAAGGAAGATGTAGAGGATGGTTCCAATTGAGTGGGAAATTCATTTTCACCTCGTACCACTATTTTTGTACATGCAGTTCCAGGCATATTACCTAGGCTCCCATTGCTTGTTTTTGGTTGTGTTTTTTTTCCATTTTGAATATGAATATTTTTGGACTGGGAATATCTTAGGGTCAGTTGGGGTAGTGCCTAGAACACTTTGCTGAGAAGACTTCTGAGGCCACACCTGGGCTCCACAGAAGGGAATACTGTAACCACCAGTCATTGCCTACCTGTCACCAACTCTCAGTGTTTGCCATGGGCATCAGATTGAAAAGCAATAGTGCATTTGCTGACCCTTTTCTAGAATACAATATTTGTAGTATACAGATATAGACACTCTGGGAAGGCAGAAATTCTCAAAGCTATGTTGATAAGGACTAGATTTCTGGGAAGCTGTGTCATTAGGAATATAGACATCCTTTATGCAAAAGAGAATTATAAACTTTTTAGTCTTAGTGTAATGCGTAGTGTTATCTTTAGACAGGGATCTTCTTACCACTCATTGATTTCTATTTTGATAAGTCCAGACTCACCCAGCAGGTCTCAGATTATTCTAATCTGATAAAAACATTGCCTTTCTGTAGTAAAGCATTTTGTGCAATCCTTTGTATAATTTATACATGTAGAATTTTGTGTAAGTAATAGTATCAAATGGCTAGAAGAGGCCGTTCTCTTTTTTTAATTGACAGGATTATTTGCTTGAGGTGAGTCAGTATTTGTCGAGTGCCCTTGTACCAAGGCACTCATTTCATTCTAGTTCAAATCCTCAGAGTAGAAGTGTTCTCTACATTGCACAGTTGAAGAGCCTGCCTCACAGGCTTACGGAGGGTCCCCAAGCCACATAGAGAGGAAGTGGGAGAGCGAGGCTATGTGTCCAGGACATAAAACGTGTGAGAAATTAAATTAATCCAAATTTGTTCTTGAATGTTGATTAGCAGGTGAGCTTTGAAAAGGAATTAGATCTAACATGTAAAAGTGCTTTAAAAACTTACACATCACCACCTATACTCTCTTCTACCATCCACTCTGGCCAAAATCTGATGCTTTCTCAGCTATTCAGTTAGAATTACATTTTTTAATGAAAATTTTATCATGATGCCACTTTATTTTAAAAACCTCTAATGGCTTTATCTTGGGATCAAGACTACTGCCCTTAACATGCCCCATGAGGTCCCAGGCAGTCTGGTTCCTACCTACCTCTCAAGTCCCAGCTCCTGCACCCAGTTGACCTTTGACCCGGAAATCAAGCTGCTCTCTACTTCAGGTGCATTTCCTTCTTCCTAGAATACCCTTACCAATTCACTGCATCTGGTTACTTTATCCTTCAGTGTCTGGGTTAGTATCAATTTCTCAGACCCCTTTCCTGACACCCCAACTATGTCCAGTCTCCTGACACTCCATGCTTTTCCTTCAGAGCACTTGCCACAGTTGAATTACACAGATTGGGATGTATGTTTCATGCCCGTTAGATGTGGTGAGTTCTGTGCGGGCTGAGACCATGGTTCTGTCCATTGCTGTATTCACAGAACCTGGCTCGTAGCTTGCAGTAGAAATCTAATGTGGTGCAGGATGCTAAGTGGAGTCTTCTGTTTTCTACGAGTAAGTGAGACGAGCCCAGAGCTGAAACAAGGTGTTTTAAAATCCCCACTTTGTTTGTGGTCAGAGAACTGCAGCTCTGTGGCCATCACTTTCCTGCCGTACTTTTTCTAAAGGGGTCATTTCAGCAGAGCCAGCCCTTGAATTTCTCTCATCCCTCACCCCCCATGTAAGAGGCTTGGAGGGTGGGGGCAGAATTGTCACCTTCGGTGGAACCTTCCTCAGAGCTGGGGAACATTCAAATGAGAGAGAATCTTGTCTGAAGGCTGGTGAGCCACTGTCTCAGAAAGCTCCCTATGCCCAGGCCCTGCAAAGCTAAGAAAGGAAGTGGAAGGACAGGTGCCATGTTTGATGGGACAAAGACAGTAGGTTTCTTGGATACTACGGTCCGAAGTGAATTCGTAGGTGTCTTGGGACTTAAGCTTTCTGGCTAGTGTCCCACAGGAGAGCAGCCCTTGGTCCCCTGACTTCCCCCCAACAAATGAGTGGACCCATTAGTGTTTCTCAACAAAGAGTTAATAGGTGTGCCCCAGGAGTGAGCCAGGGTGTGGATGGCATCTAAAGTACAGGCCTTTGGCCAGTGAGAAAATCGCCGCCCCCCACCAAGGTGGGGTAATTCTCACAGGGACTCGCTCTTGAACTTCACAAAGAAGTGAGCCAGCATTTCTTGCAGAGCATTTTTCAAAGGTTTCACTTCAGCAGAACCAGCTCTCAAATTCACTGTGATGGTCACGAAAGGAAATGACCCGAGAATCAGCTCAGGGAGCAGGGGGGTGCGGTGCGAAGAGATCACCTCACTGCCACCCCCACACCCAACACGCCCCACCTGCCCCGGCTCAAGTCTCAAGCCTCACTTCAGCTAGAGACACATGCAGAGCTTTGTATTGAATATGAGATGAAAGTCTTAATCAAAATGAAACATTTAGCTGGTGATAGGGCAGTCGAGATGTGCCCTACTCCTTACTACTCTATAGGAAAGGGGGAGTTAGAACACAAAAGTTGGAAGGTATTGGATATAAAATAATTTTATGTTTTTACTTCTCACTGAGTTGAATTCAAAACAGTTAAAATTCCTCATTAAATGGGGAGAAGGGCTATAAAACATCCCTTCAGAAAGGAGGTTGCACGTCAGTGTTTGCTTTTCCAGAAAGCCCCTTTGCCCACCGCGCCTGGAGGAATGGAAATACCGACTCAGTCCTGACACTTCCAGTGGCCTTTTGACTCTTACTTCTGTCCCCCTGCCTTTCTAC